GTCTTGACAGAGTTCGCACCAAGATGGATGTTGTACCCTCTACCAGAAGTGGGAAACAGAATATGTCGTGGTGTAGAGGAACATCTTTCAGAATAGACCCCCCCCCCATCCACAAGCAACAAAATACGACCCTCTCTCCTTTCCCTGCATTGGGGAGTTCCAACACAATGGCGTGCCCTGTCGCTCATCCCTCCTTTTTTGCCTAGAGCACACAAATCATAGCCACAGTAAGCAGTAACACAGTGAACGCCACGTGCATTGCTACCAATGCACCCTCGAATCCCCTTTTCACATTTTCATACATTAACACTACTTGCCAAAATCCTCAAAAGAAGTTTCAGAGAAACGGCGTGGCGTTCATTGTGTTGATATAATCGAACTAATAACCAAGTGAAGAAGCAAAAAACGGAAAGATAGGAGGGATTCACTGCTGGATCTATCCATCAGTCCCTCTGGTAGGATAATCTACACTCAGTGAAAGCGACACGGCACACTCTACTGCCTACCCAATACGATTGGCCACCCGGTTTGTTTCGACGTAGCGACTGTTGCGTTTGTTCACGTGCCTTTTTCAGACGTTCCAATGCTGATAGATTCAGACCTCGACTGTATTTTGACGACGACGCAACGTACCTGAAAAATCGCTATTGATAAGCACGAACTGTTAATTAGAACGTGGCATCAATGTTCTGTTTATACTGTACATTGCTTAGGCTGCAGTCATACTTTGCGGCAGCCACCAACGACCAATAGCGTCCACCAGCGTCCGAGCGTCCAGCAGCGTCAGCGACTAGGAAAGTATACATAGATATCGATCCAGCGTCTGCCAGCGTCTACCACCGTGCACCAGCGTCTCGAGGGCTAGGGAAGTATAGGTATCGATCTAGAGTCTGCCAGCGTGCACCAGCGTCTACCAGCGTACGGGAGAGGAGAGTATGGCGTGAGGGAGGGTAGCGAACAGCCTATAGAGTAGGGAGATAGGAGGGTGGTGGACTGCTGGGATCACGGCGATAGGAGGGTACCCGTACTTCCTTAGCCCTCGAAACGCTGGCAAACGTAGACCGATATCTACACTTTTCGGAGGCTCGGACGCTGGTGGACGCTACCGCGAAGTATGAACACAGTTTTAATAACACATTGTGCGATTGAACGACACGGGCTAAGGAAGACGTAGACCTTGCGAGTTTCTGCGCTGTGGGATTCCAAAAGAGCCACCCGTAACGACCGATGTGTCCTGTAGTAATAATGCATGGTTAGGGTTCTGAAAATTGGTCACGCTGATGCGGAGAACGCTCAGATTGTTCGCCTAATTTCCGTCTCACTCAGAATAGTAAGCGCAATGAGCAACGATCCAAGAATAATGGCACTAAAAACGATTAATGGGCGAAGATCACGCATCGACGGAAAAACCCGGATTGGGTTCGCAATGTATTAGGTTGTCCGGAAAGTTCTCAGCGTTTTGTGCACCTATTTTTGTACATTCACTGCTGATTAAAAACTCATTCTGCCTTGCTTCTCAGTAGCACATCCTGTAGAGAATTTCTTGCG